AATAGATGCAGCGCTGCCCTCCACTGCGCGGTCCTACCACAGCCCTTGATGGCTTGAATTAAGGAAGCATGGTTTCCTTGCTGCACCGCAACCATCAAAAGACATCGAGATACACATTAGCCGCATTAGCTTGAATAAGCCACAATGACTGCTACAGAAAGAGGAGGTGGATGAGGATGGGGAGAAGGAGACTGGGGAGGAGGAGGGGTAGTGGGAGGAGGAAGAGGAATGGGGGAGGAGGAGAAGAGGACAGGAGGAGAGGAGGACTGGAAGGAGGACGAGAGGAAGTAAGAGCAATGGGATATGGACGGGGGATGTCACACCTGCCCATGGTCTGTCCTATACCGTGGCCCTCGGAATGGTTTTCCCGCTGCCGCTGCTGCTGCTGCTGCTCCTCCTCCTCCTCCTCTTCTTCATTATTCACCTTATTCATCTCTTGCACCCCCTCCTCCTCCTCGCCTCTTCTTCTTCTCCTCCTCCTCCTCCTCCTCCTCGTTTTCCTGCATATTCTTTTTCTCTTATACATAACTCTTCCTGACGCACCCCGAAGCCAGTCGGAAAGGCTGCCCGGGCGTTTCGCCTGAGACTTCCTTAGTACTTCTGATCCCGAAGCTTGCATGTTGCAGCAATTTCACAGATGGATGGCGGGACGCTTCCAAACTGTCGCTCTCGCCTCAGCGCCGCGCACATTCGCATTAAACTGCTGCAAGAACTACACGGATTGAGGGCGGGTTGTTCTCAACATGTGGTTCTCGCCTTAATACCGCGCACGCTCGTCCTAAAAGTCGGCAATATCTTCAGAGATCGAGGGCGGTTCCTTCTTGAAAGGCGGCTCTCGCCTTAGTGCGGCGCACACTCGCCTTAAAACGTTGCGGGAGCTTCACGGGTTCCCGTGGCCAGCGTACTTTCAGGATTGCCACGGCGCAACAGTTAAGTTGATTCGCGGTGTTGAAGTCCCTCGAATGGTGTTCTGGTGCTACTCAGGGCCGTAAAGACGCAACAGTGGGGTTGATTCGTGGCGTCGGAGTACCGAGAACGGCGTTCTGGCACAATTCTGGATATGAAAACGGTTGTCTCCCAATGGGTCACTTCCCTCAGTGAAGATGAACCCTTGTATGTGGCCTCTGAAGAGGGAGCTTGGAGGGAGGGTTTATCCCAACATCAATGATAAGTCTTGGGTTTGCACTGGGGTCGTCCTCCTCCTCTTCCTTTTCCTCCCCCTTCTCCTCATAGTCCCTTGTCCCCCCTTCCGTTTCCTCTTCTTCTTATAAGTCTTAGGAATATTGATCGTAGTATTATGAGTATGATTACTATTGTTAGTCTGGTCCGTATTGAAATTATTGTCATTACTATTGCTAACGTATTGTTCGCATTCTAATCAGTCGTATTCGGTACATGGATTTTGGTACGATCCATATCACTAGTAGGATTGTTATTTGTAAGATTAGGAATACTTGTCGGACGACTCTACTACTACTACTACTACTACTACTACTGCTACTACTACTACTACTACCACTACTACTACTACCACTACTACTACTACTACTACTACTACTACTACTACTACTACTACTCCTACTACGACTATTACTCCTACTACTCCTCCTCCTCCTCCTCCTACTACTACTACTACTACCACTACTACGACTACTACGACTACTACGACTACTACTCGACTTACTTACTATACTATACTACTAGGAGTATGTAGTCTACTACTACTACTAGTAGTAGTAGTAGTAGTTAGTTGTAGTAGTACTAGTACTAGTTCTAGTTACTAGTACTAGTACTTACTACTACTACTAATTTATTATTCTTACTACTACTACTTACTAAATACTACCATATACTACGACCACTACGCCCACTACGACTACTACGACTATACTCGACTACGACTACGACTACGACTACTAGTATGTTGACTAGTATAATGCCCCCACCAGGGGGGGCCGCCACGGAGAGATCGACAGGGCGAGAGGGGAACGGTCGGGCCACGGCCCGTCGCACCTGGACGATGTATTTTCCACTCTCCAGGCGACCACGTCGCAGGCGACTTGTGTGAGAGAGAGGCTAGCCACTCCGAGGGCCCGCCGGCGTCTGAGGTCCAGCAACGCCGGGGCCGAAAAGGCGTCGGCCAACCAAGTCCAGCAGCTCATTAGCAGAACATTAACAGTACCTATATGCAAAGGGTGGCTCGCGGGCGGGGAGCAAAGAGGGGCTGTAGAGAGTTCTGTTCAGCCGTATCCTGGTACGGCACACGGTGGGGAGGCCCGCTGGACAACACATAGCGCGCGAGCACGTACAATGTTGACTAGTATAATGCCCCCACCAGGGGGGGCCGCCACGGAGAGATCGACAGGGCGAGAGGGGAACGGTCGGGCCACGGCCCGTCGCACCTGGACGATGTATTTTCCACTCTCCAGGCGACCACGTCGCAGGCGACTTGTGTGAGAGAGAGGCTAGCCACTCCGAGGGCCCGCCGGCGTCTGAGGTCCAGCAACGCCGGGGCCGAAAAGGCGTCGGCCAACCAAGTCCCATATCACAAAATGGAGAGCAGCTGGGGAGAAATTCCCATAACACTCCACTGGCCCATGGCCGCAAAGACACTACTCATGCCAGAAAAGAGAGTCCGCGAGCCTCGGCCTTGCAGGCTGCGGCCCGGACAGCAGGCGGAAGCTTGCGGATGGCCGCGAGGAGGCGGCCGGCCTTCTCATATCTCTGCACGCTGCGAAAAGAGGCCCAGCGCCCGCGCGCCTGGATCTCGGGCAGCGTCCTGGCACGGCGAAGGAAGTCCTCGCTGGGCCCCCCGTGCCTGGCAAGGTGAGGCGTGACTTTGAAAGGAATGCCTACGGCCTGGGCGGCCCGCTGCAGCACTTTATTGTACGAGGCATACGTGTGGCTAGGGAGCAGCGTCTGCGAGCGAGCACGGCGGGCCTGGCGGATGAGCGCTGCGAAGGCACCGACAACGCCAGGTCGGCTGGCCTCATCAAGGAGGACGGTGTCGTCCTGCACGCCGGTCTTGCTGGTGCGGATGCCGACGAGCTGGCCGGCCACCTGGCAGGACGGCGCGACAACCATCCCGTACTTGTTGTAGTGAGCCCCAGCGTGCATGCCCGGCGTGAAGCACGCGACCAGGGGCATGAGCACCAGCTCCGAGGGCCGCAGGTAGGTGTCGAACTGCACAACGAGGCCGCGGGCGACCTCGAGGTCAGACTCGACGCCAGTCCGCGACAGGTGGTACGCCATCAGCACCGCGGCCGACCACGGGAGGGGATCCGAAGTCGAGTCAGGCTCCAGCTTGCCCCAGCCAGCCATGGCAGCGCGTGCGAGCGGGAGGACCCCAGGCTGGCGGAGGCTGACGTTGAAGTGGTCGGCGACAGCCGCCAGCGCATACCGAGCATCGCCCCGCGACCGCTCGGCCACGAAGAGCTCCTCGAGGAAGCGGTCGAGGGCAGCGTCGACGGCAGGGAGGTCGCGGGCGGTCCAGCGCGCCGGGTCCAGGCCCATCTGCGCGGCGAACTCGTGCAGGCTGGCGTGGTACCGCACGGCGGTCGTGGCGGTCACCCTCGAGCGCCGGAGGAAGCCAGGGTTGTAGTCAGCGGGCTCCCGTCGGACGCGAGGCCGCCGCGCGGCCACAACAGCGGCGGGGCGTCGGCGCACTGGGCCGCGGCCCTCGGCCGGAGCCTCCTCCAGCGGGGGGCCTCGGGGGCCCCCAGACGCCGCCCCACTGCTCGGCGTCCGACCTCCAGAGCGGGGCCCAGCGCGAGGGACAGGTCGGGCACGGGAGGGCCTGAGGACCGAAGTCGCAGCCCGCCGCCCGGCAGAGGTCAGCCTGCCATCGTTCCTCGAGTAGTGGAGCACCATCTGGCCTCTTGGCGCCGCGCGGCGCCGCCGCTGCCAAGATGCTGGCAGCGAGGTGGCAGGCGCCCGGGGGGTACGCGCCGGCCAACGTGGTCTTCCACTGATACTTGAGCCCTCCCGTGGACGCACGGACACGTACCTTCCCAGACAAGTGCTCGTGCCTGTGGCCCCCCTCGCAGAGCAGGCCGATGTCGTGCAGGGCCCCCAGACTTGAGACGATAGTGGTGGGCTTCTTGTAAGGCGCGCCGAACCGGCAGCAGTGATAGGTAGCCCAGGAGCGTGAGTGCTGGTCCAGGAACTTCCGGAGTGGGGCCCAACGGAAGAGGCCCGAGGACTGAGGGTTCTCCAGAGACCAGTGAATCCCGTAGCGGCTGCAGACCTCCAAGAGACGCACCGTGACGTGAGCACACCGTCGGGCTGCCCTGATGGCGGAGACTTCGCGAGCCCCTCGCCGAGAGATGGACCACGGGGTGCACGGGGTGCCGAAGTGGACGAACCAGACGGCCCGGGAGGTGATCCAGGAACGCACCTGAGACTCGACCTTCGGGTTGAGGAGGTCGCACCAGGGCCCGTGCTTGATGTCCATGGGGGCCGCGACGACGAGGCCCGCCTGGGCCAGGGCACCAGTCCAGCGCCCGCAGCCCGAGAAGACCTCCAAGGCAGCCCGGGGTCGCGGAGCCCGCGCAGCGGTCGGCGTAGTGGATGCAGACGTAGCAGGAGGCCGAGGGGACGGACCGTGATCTGACGTTTCATCCACTCGAATTGGCTGCATCCTGGGCCCGCACCGGCCCAAGCGGCCGGCCGATCCACGACAGGGCGGCGGCCGGCGGCGGGTGGAGCCCGTGCCTGCATCAGTGTGGCCGCCACGCGGCCGCCTCGGCCAAACCACCGAGGGCGCCGGGAGGCCCGGCGGGGGCGCGAGCCAGGCGGGCTTGCGCGGCCCCTGCCGGCCTCGCCGAAGGAGCACGTCACGCGGGGGGGCCGGCACGCGCCTGGGGTGCCTCGGCGGGCCGTCGCAGGGGAGCGGCCGAGGGGTGTGACGGCAGAGGTCTGAATCCTCCCCCCCTCGTCGGCACGCTGTGTCCCCTGCGACGGCGGGCGGCGCCAGGGCGGCGGCGGCCCGAGCGGAGCCCGCAGCGCCGGCAGCCAGCCCCAGGGGCGGCGGCGGGGGCGGAGCCGCACCGGGCCGTCCGGCACCCCCAGCGGCGCCGGCGCCAGGTCCCACGCGACGCTGTCCAGGGCGGTACAGGCCCTGCAGGGCCTTGCGCGAGCCACCGTCGCTGACG